CCTGATGATTCTTGCCAGTTTAACGTGTGCTTTCCAGTTATCCTGGCCATTGGATAAGAAAGCATTCCTCAGTGCTTGGCCAGCACAAGGTACATTATTAACGCAAGCCTTCACAACACATAGAGAACATTCTTAAGTCATGATAAAGCAGAAAGATCTTGAGAATAAAATGATAACGTTGTCAGGACAGAAACAGGAAACAGAGGGTCAGAATTAAACCAGAACAAAGTATTAAACACTATTTACTCAAAATATAGAGAACATAAACTGTGTAAATTCTCTTAATGTTTTTACCAGGATGAGTGTTTAATAATCTCAGTCTCCCAGTTGGTTAGGAAGCTGTATCATAACAATTATATAACCTAAAACAAGTGTTGACACTAACTCCATTCTATCAATCAAATGAATTACACTTTTACACCATGAAACAACCAGATTCTCAAGTCACTGAAGGGCTGAGAGCAATGACGGGAGGTAAATGCCTGATATACCTTGTGTCTAGTCTGTCCAGCATTTGAACAGCAGATGGACTGCTTCTGAGATATAATCTAACAGAGAGAGAAAGAGGTTAAACATCTAAAAAACAATACAGCTCTTTGTCCTGAAACAATACACTTTGTCTGCTGTTTCTTATCTTAAAACAGCAGCGATGACGATTGCATGAAACATTCATTCATATCAACATCATGTCTAGGTTTTCCAATTCAACCACTTGAATTCACAAAATGTCAGTTTGTTGAAAGATCAGATTGGTTGAAACATCCAGTGATAAGACCTGCGAGAACGTACAGATTACACAACAAACGACCACATGAACAATAAAAGCCATGTTATGTTATCAAAACACATGCAACAGAATTGTGAAATATACAGGTAGCTGACAGAATTGTGTCTCCAAAGAAACCACAGTAAAAAAAAAAAAAAAGCAAAGCAGCCTGTAGTGAAAGCTCATTGTTGTACTTCAGCTAATTGACTCATGTGGGTTGTTGGGGAAACACGGTGAAGTCATTTTTGTTGTCAGTGTAAACAGCAGCTCTAACCCCCATGTCTAGAATTTGTTGAAACAACAGGGGCCATTTATTAATACTATTACATAATGAAGAGATCAGCAACACGTGATGACCTGAAAGCTGCTTTAATTATTATTGTGTCAAACATTAGAATTATTTTGAGACCTTTTCTATTTGTACAAACAGATGTCAAAGATGTCAAATTCGACTTTACTTTAGAAAAAGTATATTGCTCTGTGAAAAGAAAGCGTTTGCAAGTTCAAAACATGCAAAATGCAATACTGAAATTATATTATGCGTTACTTATTAATATTCAGGTAGCTGAAATTACATGTACTTCTAAAACATAAATATAATTAACTAAAACTACTAATATATATATATATATATATATATATATATATATATATATTACCATATAATATATGAGTGTGTACTGTGTATATTTATTATGTATATAAAAATACAAACACATGAATGTATATATTTGGGAAAATATGCTGTTTATATATTAAATATATTTATATATAATACAAAATATAATAATATAAATATATACATTTATATACATGTAAATATTTTCAAAATACATACTGTATGCGTGTGTATTTATATAATAAATAAACACAGTACATGTAAACAAAAAACTTTTATTTTGGATGTGATTAATCACGATTAATCGCTTGACAGCACTTATATATATATATATATATATTCCAAATGTTTTATAATTATTAATACAATCAGTTTTATGACCCTATTTTAATTTATCCACAAATCAAAACAGAATGTGTGTGTGTATAGTGTACGTGTGTGTGTATATATATATATAAATTCATCCAGGAATCCTGGAAAACAAATATGGTTTCCACAAAATATTAAGCAAAACAACTGTTTTCAGGATTGATAATAATATGACATATTTAATGACCACCAAATCAGCATTTTAGAATGATTTATGAAGGCTCATGTAACTCTGCAGACTGGGTAATGGCTGCTTTGCCATCACAGGAATAAATTACATTTTAAAATATTCATTCTAAAACAGAAAACAGTTATTTTAAGTTGCAATAATATTTTACTTTTGAACTGGGCTACTGAATATCAATATTACCATCGAACTGTATTCATGATCAAATAAATGCAGCCTTGGTGAGCATAAAAGACATATTTCAAACAAAAAAATTACAGCAATCTTACAGACCCTCCATATAACCAATTTACCAACTAACTGTATTTATATAATTGTTTAAGTCGTCTCATTGTTATGAGGCTGCATATAAAATATCTGAACTATCTTCTTGCATTGACATTGTCTCTTTGTGTTGAAGAAACATTCACTTCATTCAAGGTTTAAAATCCCACCCAACTGGTTTCCCTTTAACCAATCTCATATTACAGCCTGTCCAATGATATGAATTAGTTCAGCTGTTCTCAAAGTCAGTGTTGGGAGTCATTTCCCAAACTAACTTTAAACAAATACTACACTTAAACGTTCCACAACGCAAGCACAAGTGCAAGTCAGTTTTAAAACACTTACAACTTCCAGGTTCTTCTTAAACTGAGAGCCATTCTTCAGTAAGAGAGGAGGATCAGTTCTGCTCCTGTGATCTTCAAGGACTTTACTTATGAGACCCTTAAACGAAACAGTCGGACTCTCGTCCACCATCTCCAAGTCCAGGACCAGTTCAGCACAGGTTGGAAATGAAAAGCTCAGATTCCCACATAGAAATCAGTGACTGGTGTTGACCAACAGGTGTGCACATGAAATCGATAGTCGTCTATAACCAGAAAAAGTACAGGGCTCGTTTACACACAGCAGACATCGTGACAATGGCAGACACGTGAGTAAACATAGGTGTGGGGTTGAAAAAGGTAACATGTCACGTGACCTGAGTGGGCTGTACCTATGAGATCCCTGATAACTTTGTTGCCAGTGTTAACCTGAATTAAATGATAACTAAAACTACTAATATATATATATATATATATATATATATATATATATATTACCATATAATATATGAGTGTGTACTGTGTATATTTATTATGTATATAAAAATACAAACACATGAATGTATATATTTGGGAAAATATGCTGTTTATATATTAAATATATTTATATATAATACAAAATATAATAATATAAATATATACATTTATATACATGTAAATATTTTCAAAATACATACTGTATGCGTGTGTATTTATATAATAAATAAACACAGTACATGTAAACAAAAAACTTTTATTATGGATGTGATTAATCACGATTAATCGCTTGACAGCACTTATATATATATATATATATATTCCAAATGTTTTATAATTATTAATACAATCAGTTTTATGACCCTATTTTAATTTATCCACAAATCAAAACAGAATGTGTGTGTGTATAGTGTACGTGTGTGTGTATATATATATATAAATTCATCCAGGAATCCTGGAAAACAAATATGGTTTCCACAAAATATTAAGCAAAACAACTGTTTTCAGGATTGATAATAATATGACATATTTAATGACCACCAAATCAGCATTTTAGAATGATTTATGAAGGCTCATGTAACTCTGCAGACTGGGTAATGGCTGCTTTGCCATCACAGGAATAAATTACATTTTAAAATATTCATTCTAAAACAGAAAACAGTTATTTTAAGTTGCAATAATATTTTACTTTTGAACTGGGCTACTGAATATCAATATTACCATCGAACTGTATTCATGATCAAATAAATGCAGCCTTGGTGAGCATAAAAGACATATTTCAAACAAAAAAATTACAGCAATCTTACAGACCCTCCATATAACCAATTTACCAACTAACTGTATTTATATAATTGTTTAAGTCGTCTCATTGTTATGAGGCTGCATATAAAATATCTGAACTATCTTCTTGCATTGACATTGTCTCTTTGTGTTGAAGAAACATTCACTTCATTCAAGGTTTAAAATCCCACCCAACTGGTTTCCCTTTAACCAATCTCATATTACAGCCTGTCCAATGATATGAATTAGTTCAGCTGTTCTCAAAGTCAGTGTTGGGAGTCATTTCCCAAACTAACTTTAAACAAATACTACACTTAAACGTTCCACAACGCAAGCACAAGTGCAAGTCAGTTTTAAAACATTTACAACTTCCAGGTTCTTCTTAAACTGAGAGCCATTCTTCAGTAAGAGAGGAGGATCAGTTCTGCTCCTGTGATCTTCAAGGACTTTACTTATGAGACCCTTAAACGAAACAGTCGGACTCTCGTCCACCATCTCCAAGTCCAGGACCAGTTCAGCACAGGTTGGAAATGAAAAGCTCAGATTCCCACATAGAAATCAGTGACTGGTGTTGACCAACAGGTGTGCACATGAAATCGATAGTCGTCTATAACCAGAAAAAGTACAGGGCTCGTTTACACACAGCAGACATCGTGACAATGGCAGACACGTGAGTAAACATAGGTGTGGGGTTGAAAAAGGTAACATGTCACGTGACCTGAGTGGGCTGTACCTATGAGATCCCTGATAACTTTGTTGCCAGTGTTAACCTGAATTAAATGATTTAAAATATTTTTTTGTAACTGCATATGCCACTGTGGTAAACGGCATTACGCTACTACTTAAAATGCATGATCCAGAATGACATTAAATGCAATAGTACGGTATAACAACCATGTACTAATTGTAATAAAGCGATGTATGTTTTTGTATGATCCTCAGTAAATTCTACTACATGATTTATGCTTGTATTCGACTTGAAATCAAATAGATAAATAACAAAGCGTGTAATAATCGCTTAATTAATAATTGTGTGCTCCGAGCCCTTCATTAAAAGAAGAAGATTGAACCGTCGTGTTTTTCCGCGTGACGGTGAGAGGCTCCATAGAATAAGGCAGTTGTTCAAAATGTAGATTGTGACATCATAAAAACTCTATAAAGGTGAAACGTTCTGCGCGACGCTCGTTCAGCTCATTCTGCTGCTAAATCACGATAGCGATGGGTCAACGTAGCTCTCGTTGCAAAGAGGCAGAAAAAGATTTTGGGCGTGTGTACAATTGCCATGGTACACCGCCACAGTCTTTCACTAGTTTGCTGGAAGCCCACCCACATCCAGCTGGTGTTGGAGAGGAGGATGTGGATGGGAAAAAGAAGAAAGGGAGGAAGGAGGACACCTCTAAGGAAAAGAAAAGGAGGTTTAGGTTGTGGAGGTGGACCTCTTGTTGGAGAGCTGGTAAAAAATACAGCAGGAAGGCCAGCTCAGTTCAGGGTGAAGATGAGGCTCGGGGTACTGACGCAGCGGCAGTACCATCTAGAAGAAGTCCTGATGGTAAATGGCATGTTTTAAGAATATGTACAAGGATCCGAAAAGTGAAATACTAATTAACAGCTTAGATGTAGTAAAATGAGTATCCACTATGCAATTATTAATTAATATTGTTTGATTAACACTATGTTTTGGTTTATATCCCCTCATTAGATCAGAATTCACTACAGCAGTTCATCTGTACTATAGAGACCCACAATCATCAGGAACCTTCAGGCAGTGACCCTGAAGTCTCTCCTGCAGCAGAGGAGCATCTTGCTGTTCATCCTGATGCAGATGTCCTCCAATCACCAGAATGGAGCGACAACGTCGCTCAGACTCCAGTCGATACCACATCAGACTGGAGCGCTGACATTGCCCAGGCTCCAGTCCTTCGTACTGCATCTGACTGGAGCATCAATGCCGGCCTGACTCCAGTCTTTACCACATCAAACTGGAGTGGTGATTTTGCCCAGGCGCCATCTGACTGGAACATTTATGCCGGCCTGACTTCAGCATGCACCATGTCAGACTGGAGCACTGACGTCACACAGACTTCAGCACCCACTGCAACAAACTGGAGCGCTGACGTCACCCAAACTCCAGACCGCACCGCTTCTGATTGGAGTGCCGATATCGCTCAGACTCCAGTCCGGCGCACCCCTTCCAACTGGAGCAAGGACATTGCCCAGACTCCAGTCTGCACCACATCAAACTGGAGCGCCAATGTCATCCAAACTTCAGTTAGTTCCACAGAGGTCTCTGTGTCACCTCTGACAAGGCAGCTGGAGAAAAATGGAAAGATAAAAATTGAGGGTAAGTTTACTGCCGCAATAACACAACACACACACACGCTTCATACTATATCAGGCCATTTTATTGTCACTTGTTTATTAATTAAACAAGAATTGGACAACACTGCAGTCAATACTTGATATTTCAACTAACCCTGTTTTTCCTTTAATAGTCATCAATTCCTGCCACTATGTGATCGGCGATTTGCTGGGTGAAGGGACCTTTGGAGCCGTGTATGAGGGGAGTCGTCTGCAGGATGGTTTTAAGGTTTCATTTTTTGCTTACAATATCTAGCTAGCAGATTAATCATCTGAATTGGATTCATTTGATCTCTGCATTTATATTCATTGTAAATATTTTTTTTACAATCTGTTTATTGTTTTATTTATTAGGTAGCAGTGAAATATGTCGCAAAGACGGAGAATGTGGAATACATCAGTATCGTAAGTAGGCTGTGCTCTCTACTTTCTCCTCTGTCTATTCAATTTACTGTAAAACATCTCATATTACTATAGCTGATTTTGCAATAGATAAGTTGCCGATGTGATCATTTTGTGAAATACTGGTCTGAATCCTAATTTGGGAATCCATATCCATCTAACCATCATAAAAATTGTATTTCCTCTAGCCGGGTCATTCCAAGCCCCTTCCACTAGAGATTGCACTGCACATCCTCGCCAACAGAGGCCCCAGCATTCCGGAAATAATCCAACTGCTGGACTGGCAGGACCAGCATGACCATTATGTTATGGTGATGGAGCGCCCCTCACCCTGCGAGGACCTGTTTGAATTTGCAGAACGCCACGGAGGCACCATCGATGAAGGCTTAGCTTGTGTCGTCATGCGGCAAGCAACACAGGCTGCCTACATGTGTTGCCGCCGTGGGGTTCTACACGGAGATATCAAACTTGAAAATCTGCTCATTAATAAGGAGACCCATGAAGTCAAGCTAATTGATTTTGGGTGTGGCGACCTCCTTAAGAAATCGGCCTACAAGATATTCACTGGTGTGTATTATCCCTCAAGCCATAAAATTGGAACCATTGATGTGAATCATATACCTGTAGCACCAAATGCTAATGGCTGCTTAGAAAAATGCTGTGATATTGCAAATTTACAGATGTTTCAAAATCACTTTCCTCCAGGCACTGATCAGTACTGCCCCCCGGAGTTTAAAGAGGAGGGTGAGTACAATGGGAAGCCAGCAACAGTCTGGTCCCTTGGTGTTCTCTTGTTCGCATTGGTGTGCGGGGATTTTCCCAACATTGATGACTTGAACAAGATCAATGCAAACAACTTCTCCAAAGCTGGCTTGTCAGAAGGTGAGCTTTTCATGAAGCAAATTGTATAAAGATGTTTTAGAATAACATGATCCGAAAGAAAGTGTGAAGTTCAAATTAATAATCAGACATTTTTTTTACATTGTTCTTCATAGAATGCTGCCAGTTGATTAGTTCTTGTCTCCAGCAAGAGCCAGAGCAGCGGCTTCGATTAAGCAAGATTCTTCTCCACGACTGGTTCAAGGTACTAAGACTAAGATCAGCTAAATCATACTTGCTTTTTGAAAAGTTTGAAAGTCTTTTTTTTGTTTTCTTAAAACTGTAAGACTACAGACATTAGCTTCAGGTAACATTCTTCTGATTCACTTCTGAAAATGTGATTACTGTTTTTTTTTAGGTCACAGATGTGGAGAACCTAAAAACAGTGTAAAAAAAGGACAGGAACCCCTGGAGTGGCTCTGCAGTTGTGGCTTCGGCCCCCAAGATCCCTATCATGGCCCCAGAGGTTCTTGTCAAATCAACAAGCAAGGCAACTTCACTCCAGAGCTCCCTGTCCTAGCCCCCAACATGTTCCTCTCTATGGTGTCTCAGAGGTTGAGCCTCCTCAGAGCTAGTGCCTGTCTCCCTCCACATCCCAAGATGTTCCAATCTGTTTGGCCCTAGTCATAGCTGGTTCCCATGGCTGCCCTCTTCCAAGGGCATACGTTTGCCCTAAAGATTTCTGCCCCAGAGCCAGTGGTGGAGATCACACCACTTCCAAAGTTGGTGCCCTGGTACCACAGCTCCCTATCTTGGGCTTCCTGGGTCCGAGTGGTTTGTGTCAGTGTGTCAGGTTTGTAGTCTTTTGTGAAATCATTAAAATTTATGTGAAAGTAACTTTCTTTGCTCCCTTATATGGCTAGCCTAGAGGGAACTGTAATGGCCCCAGCCAAAGTCAGCACCCAATGCCGGCTCCTTGTCTTGTTTCTCCTATGTCTTTAGTTCCTGTGAGAGCAACCCAAGATTTCTTGTTACAGCCACCTCAGGTGTTTATGGACAGCTTGGTCCTCAAGGTCCCGCACCTGCCCCTGTTTGTGTAATGGTCTTAGTCAAAGCCAGTATCCATTAATGGCGTAGCTCTAGAGCTCCCTTTCTTAGACTGTCCAATTTTCAAAGCTCCCTGCCCGTGATGTTCCTGTCACTACTCCACCATAGGTTCTTGTTTTGAACCTAGCCAAAGCCATTCCCATGGTCTCCTTGGTTCCAGAGCTCCCTGTTTCTAGTTGTCTCAGGCTGCTCTAGTCCAAGTGTTCCATTCCACTCAGATACTAGTGTTAGGACTGCCTCAGATCTTCCTGTTGCTGCCTGTGGAGCCTCTCATTCGAGTTCCAGATATCCCTATCTCAGGCCACCACTGTCACAGTTCCATAGGTCACTGTCACTGCCCATAGGTTCCTATCATGGACCCTACCAGAACCCAAGGCTTTCCCTGTCCTGTCACTGCCATCTTCATAGCCAGCAGTCAAAGATACCCTGTCTTCAGCTGCCCTGGTCCTGCCCCGATCTCCATTCAAAGTAAACAATAAACGTCATAATATGCATGAATTAAACTGCCCTTGTTCATAGTGACAATATTATTCATAATCTGCTGAAGAATTAAGTAAGTAAGTATTAAAAGTAAGTAAGTATTGGTTTATAGAGGTAAGTACTAGTATACACTATAATACTTGTCCACTGGTTTATAATCCATGTTCACTGTCATTGAACTTCAAGTACTGCATCACATAAACATACCACACTTTTCTCATGCCATTCGTTCCATACGATTAAACAATTCAAATGAGGCTGTTTGTTGACAATATACACACATGTGGAAAAGTCACCAAAACAAGTCTTCAGGGTGAGGCTTTTTTTTTTTTTTTTAGTAGTCTTTAGTAACATCTGGTGGACAAAAGACAGAATTACAAACCTGCCCATTAGGTCTCTAAAAAACAGACCAATTTCATAAAAAATATAGACAGTGAAAAATAGCATTCACTGTATAAATAGCATTGTTAATGTACTTTTGAGTGAATGTATAGATTGGGACGCATACTAGTTTTTTTTTGCACTTTTTTGCAGCTCACCTAACTAGTTATATATGGTGTGACAAATCATTTGTAATATATGGTCATGACAGCTATGTACAGTATATATATATATTTTTAAATGTATTATATTTTTAGATGGAGTATATATTTCAACAAAATACACAGCACTGTAAGCCACATTTAGTATTAATTTCAACAGGCATTCCTTCTGAAAGCGGTTTTATTGGTTGTAATTGAACTGTCTGACACTTAAATGATCCTCAAACAACATTTAACATAACACATCAGCAATAAAAAAAATAATCTGGGAAAATAAAATGTTTCATAATCCATAAAATAGATTATTAACACAATTGAAACAGATGCAATGCAGTCTGAGTACTGTACATATATGTTAACCATTACTTCTGTAGTTACTGTCCACAAATAAGTTCAAGCTAGAGTTCAGAACATAATAGTTAAGTGCTGAGGTATAAGATTCTGTCTTCATCCACTTTGAACTCAAAAGTAACACTCAGTTATAGTCAATTAAAAGACCTTGACATAATACTTATATAAACGGGGAACAGATACAGTCCACGGTCTTGTTAAAACTCACAAATTTTTCACTTGAAAGATTAATCAGTCAGTCAAAAGCACAAATAATAAAAGAGCTATTCCCCTTACATACTGATAAAAGCAGCTTTTGTTAGAAGAGATTTGTAGTTTGTGTGCTAAGTACCAATTTTCAAGATTACTAAGTAACCTTGGAAAAAAAAGACATTTACTGGCGTTTTATTAAAAACTGGTTTCTGTTTATGTGAGAAGATTTACAAAAAAGGTGTTTACTTGGCTAATAATCCATGAAAACATGTTGTGTCAGCTATGTTCAGTTACGTACTTGTTGTAATAGTGTGCATTTTAAGTCACTTATTAACTTCCAGGAAATCTTGGCTCGCTGAAGTTTATTATGATGGTGTCTCTTTTGACTGTCAACAGGAGCCGCTGTTTCCTGGTTATGTTCACCCGAGTACTACGCTGCTGCCAAACCCTTTCTTTCTTCCGAAGAGATCACGGCGACAGCTTTTTTCAATGTACTGAGCTGGATACAGTGTGTTTTGTGTAAGTGAATCTTAAGACACGGCACAGCACAGGGATTGAGACACATTCACTAGAGAGATTTGTGTTGCTTATGTGTTTGTACGTGGTTTCCTCTTGACTTTCCTGGCATACAGGAAGTACATGGTGTGTCCCGTGAAAATGAACAGAATGGAGATGATGACAAGGATGCCGAAGTGTTGTGGCTGGGGTACAGAGATGACCATGATGAAGTGCAGCAGGTCCATCAGGTAGTTCATGGAGCTCTGGACTCCATTCACCACCCCACGCTCTGATTCACATATGGTCTCCTGCAAGAGCTGAGTCACTGTCAGGTCAAAGGACCAGAGACCTGGAAAACAACAACACCATATATGTGACCCTGGAGCACAAAACCAGTCTTAAGTCACTGGGGTATATTTGTAGCAATAGCCAAAAATACATTGTATGGGTCAAAATGATTGATTTTTCTTTTATGCCAAAAATCATTAGGATATTAAATAAAGATCATGTTCCATAAAGATATTTTGTAAATTTCCTACCGAAAATATATCAAAACTTAATTTTTGATTAGTAATATGCATTGCTAAGAACTTAATTTGGACAACTTTAAAGGCGATTTTCTCAGTATTTAGATTTTTTTTTTTTGCACCCTCAGATTCCAGATTTTCAAATAGTTGTATCTCGGCCAAATATTGTCGTATCCTAACAAACCACACATCAATGGAAAGCTTATTTATTCAGCTTATTTATGTATACACCTCAATTTTAAAAAATTGACCCTTATGACTGGTTTTGTGGTCCAGGGTCACATAACAGCACAACATATATTATTTTAGGTTACACGTCATGGCGATATAACGTGTACTATAATCAGTTATCATATACGATTCTCACTAATACCACATGACATTTTAGAACCAGAAATAATCTTCACTCTCATAAACTCTCTCATACTTTGAGACTTGTTGTCATCTCTATAATTTCCCTGTTTTATGAGGAAAAAAGTCAGAATTGGGAGATATAAATTTAGAATTGTCAGACATTAAAACCCTTTAACTGTCACCATCCCACCTGTGGGACACTTGGCACTCTTTTTTTTGTTGTCCTTTTTCTCTATCAAATCTTTTAGTAATCATCATAAATCATATATCATTTGAAAGCTTAGAAGCCCATTTTGAAATCGGACATTGTGTTACCATGGAAATTGTACTTTAAAATCTTTTGGCGGTCTCCTCCCCCTTAGTGGGCGGTGTCAAGTGTCATATTACAAAATGCATTAAGCTCTTTTACAATCAAAACTTTTTATAATCTTGACAAAAAACATATCATTGGAAAGGTCTGAGTCTCAGGATTCCATATGTAGTTATTTTGAGATTCTCTGATATTTTGACAGTAACATTTTTTAATGGAGTTTGGATGGCACCCGGTGGCTGTTTGTGGTATAACGCCCTAAATAAAATCTCACAGGAACCTCAATTTTTTTCATATCACCTTCAAATTTGGAACATAACTTACGCACCCGGTGGCTGTTTGTGGTATAACGCCCTAAATAAAATCTCACAGGAACCTCAATTTTTTTTCATATCACCTTCAAATTTGGAACATAACTTATTTAGACATAAGACTATAATTTTATACCAATTTTAGAGTAAAACCTGTTATGTAAAATATTTCTTATATATAAAATAAAATTAATATAGTGCATTTTCTTTACAGTAAATTTAAACTACCATAACTTTTTGATACTTTAATTCTTTTTAAAATCATCTGCTGATTTGTTTTTTTAAAAAGAGACCAACCTTATGTCTGTATTCCAAAGTGTTCATAAATTACAACTATTTAAGTTTGGATCGTGCACCTGCATGCCTATTTTAAAAAATGGGGGGTGACAGTTAAGGGGTTAATATAGAATTAAAAAAAGGAAAAAGCTAATTGTGAATTTTTATCACACCAGTCTGACTTTACATATCATTGGAAAGGTCTGAGTCTCAGGATTCCATATGTAGTTATTTTGAGATTCTCTGATATTTTGACAGTAACATTTTTTAATGGAGTTTGGATGGCACCCGGTGGCTGTTTGTGGTATAACGCCCTAAATAAAATCTCACAGGAACCTCAATTTTTTTCATATCACCTTCAAATTTGGAACATAACTTACTTAGACATAAGACTATAATTTTATACCAATTTTAGAGTAAAACCTGTTATGTAAAATATTTCTTATATATAAAATAAAATTAATATAGTGCATTTTCTTTACAGTAAATTTAAACTACCATAACTTTGATACTTTAATTATTTTTAAAATCATCTGCTGATTTGCTTTTTTAAAAAGAGACCAACCTTATGTCTGTATTCCAAAGTGTTCATAAATTACAACTATTTAAGTTTGGATCGTGCACCTGCATGCCTATTTTAAAAAATGGGGGGTGACAGTTAAGGGGTTAATATAGAATTAAAAAAAGGAAAAAGCTAATTGTGAATTTTTATCACACCAGTCTGACTTTTTTTTTTCTTCTCGCAAATCCAAGTTTATATCAAATCAAGTTTTTCTCAAAGTATCTTTCGAGTATCTCGCAACTCTGTGTTTATATCTCACATTTTTCAGTATTTTGAGAAAAAAGTCAGAATTTTGAGATCAAAATATACGCTTCCATAAACATGACTTTGTTTTGCAGACAGAAGGTTTGAAAATATTAATTAAGCAATGAAACAGTTTTGTTGAAAGATTTTTCCTAAGAAATAATAAAAGATTTTGCCAAATTTTTTAAATAACTAATTCTTTTAATGAAAAAGATTACACATTAAATGTATTAAATGTAACAGTAAAAATTTGTTACAAAGATTTCTATTTGTATTCTATTTTTATTTCTATTTCTGTTTATTTCTATTTTATTCTATCCCCCAAAGAATGCTGAAAAAAATGTATTATAATTTCCACACACACACACACACACACACAAAAGTCTGTTTCCAACATAGATAATAATCAGAAATGTTTCTTGAGGATAAAATCAGCATATTAGAATGATTTCTGAAGGATCATGTGACACTGAAGACTGGAGTATTGATGCTGAAATGCTTTACCATCACAGGAATGAATTACATTTTAAAAATATATTCAAGTTTAAAAAGTACCTTAGTGAGCATAAGACACTTTTTCTTTTTTCAAAATCATACTGACCCCACAAATTTTTTTTTATATTTTAGGACAAAGCAGGCATCTACTCACCAACTCGAGCTGTAATGACTCCAAGGAACAGCAGGATGATGGAGACGTAAGACTCTGGTTCAGTCCCTGCTGGTGCGTTCTCAAATAGCACAGTGTTATTGGTCCAGTGAATGGAGGAACGGTCTGGCAGCAGAGGCTGGTTGCTGCCTCCACGCAGTGGGTATCCGTGCTTCTGGTGACCTCCGGTCATCCCTCCCACATCTGATGCATTCCCCATATTTAGAATGCTGAGGTCCATGGGGCTACCAGGGGCAAACACGGAGCACAAACAAAGCATCAGGCAAACTAGGTGCAGCACGCTGGAAATGACCCCAGTGTTGACCAGGCCACATGCTTTGCGCAGCTTTGTGAAAAGCACAGTACCCAGAAGCCCCGCCACAGCTGACACTCCCATCAGAATGCTGAGCAGCGAGCCGCTGATTCCCTGGGTGTAGGCGTAGCCAGTGGTGATGCAGTCAAAGCCCAGCACTGTGGTGTAAAGGAAGGCCAGGCCCAGGCCGGCGAGGAAAACAGGCTGTCTGTAATATGCCCTCCATCCTTCCCAGCAGGTGCTGAGGAGCCCACGCAGCCGATGGAGGCACACTGGTATTCTGCTTATTTCTTGTAAATGCAGGCTGGTGCTTTCCTCTGAGATGACAGCAGCTGGACATGCTGAGGTCTTGCCTGAACAAACCAAGATGGATTGTGGATTTGGATTATATATCAGTAAGTCTATCTATCTATCTATCTATCTATCTATCTATCGTTCTATCGTTCTGTCCTATCATTCTATCTATCGTTCTATTTATTATTTGTCTATATATCTTTCTATCTATCGGAATCCTTCCCAGCAGGTGCTGAGGAGCCCACGCAGCCGATGGAGGCACACTGGTATTCTGCTTATTTCTTGTAAATGCAGGCTGGTGCTTTCCTCTGAGATGACAGCAGCTGGACATGCTGAGGTCTTGCCTGAACAAACCAAGATGGATTGTGGATTTGGATTATATATCAGTAAGTCTATCTATCTATCTATCTATCTATCTATCGTTCTATCGTTCTATCGTTCTGTCCTATCATTCTATCTATCGTTCTATTTATTATTTGTCTATATATCTTTCTATCTATCGGACGGTCTATCTATCTATCTATCTATCTATCTATCTATCTATCTATCTATCGTTCTGTCCTATCATTCTATTTATTATGTCTATATATCTTTCTATCTATCGAACGGTCTATCTATCTATCTATCTATCGTTCTATCTATTATTTGTCTATCTATATATCTTTCTATCTATCGAACAGTCTGTCTGTCTGTCTGTCTGTCTATCTATCTATCTATCATTCTGTCATTCTATCATTCGTTCTATTTATTATTTGTCTATCTATGTATCTTTCTATCTATCGAACAGTCTATCTATCTATCTATCGTTCTGTCGTTCTATCTATTATTTGTCTATCTATCTATATATCTCTCTATCTATCGAACAGTCTGTCTGTCTGTCTATCTATCTATCTATCGTTCTATCTATTATTTGTCTATCTATATATCTTTCTATCTATCAAACTGTCTGTCTATCTGTCTATCTATCTATCTATCGTTCTGTCGTTCTATCTATTATTTGTCTATCTATATATCTTTCTATCTATCGAACAGTCTGTCTGTCTGTCTGTCTGTCTGTCTCTATCTATCTATCGTTCTGTCGTTCTATCATTCTATCTATTATTTGTCTATCTATATATCTCTATCTATCGAACAGTCTGTCTGTCTGTCTATCTATCTTTCTATCTTTCTATCGTTCTGTCGTTCTATCTATCGTTCTATCTATTATTTGTCTATCTATCTATATATCTTTCTATCTATCGAACAATCTCTGTCTGTCTGTCTGTCTGTCTATCTATCTATCATTCTGTCGTTCTATCTATTATTTGTCTATCTATATATCTTTCTATCTATCGAACAGTCTGTTTGTCTGTCTGTCTGTCTGTCTGTCTGTCTATCTATCGATTGTTCTTTCTATCGTTCTATCTATCGTTCTATTTATTATCTGTCTATCTATACTATATATCATCTATCGAACAGTCTGTCTGTCTGTCTGTCTGTCTGTCTATCTATCTATCTATCTATCTATCTATCTATCGATTGTTCTATCTATCGTTCTGTTGTTCTATCTATAATTATATCTGTTGTTTTGCTGTTCTTTATGTCCATAAGGCATACATTTTTCATAACTTTCAAACAGGAGTTTATTAATCCCACATGTAAAGTTTGTCTTTTCCTTTTTTGCTAAAAATTTGTTATATGAATGTCAATTCATTGTTAATTCTTCTTCCTTTCCATAAAAAATTTAACTGCATTTCATTTCAAGTTCAGAAACTAAATTGGAATTTTAAAGAAAAAAATCAGTTCTGAATAGTGAATAACACATTTCTACAAAGGTATCGGTAAATGAAAACTTCTGTAATATGCTATATCCACACCATCAGGTGTCAGTATGAGGCGATATCTGCAATATCGACTAAAATGCACACCAAACTACTGAGTGCAACTTTAAATATACATTATATTTCATGGGTTTGAATCTTTTATTACCTTGTGAGCGTTTTCTTTCTCTTTTCTTCTTTAAATAGCTTTGATGTTCCATAGCTGGTGGTTTGACGGACAGTGCTGGTACAATCCGGTAGACTCTGGAGAGGAAGATGAACTCTACAATGAGGGACACCAGATTCCATCCTAAGATGAAGCCACAGCCAACCACATTAGAGGCCAGGGTCATTACCTGACCCACCGCCAGTGGAGCCAGGATGTTAGTCACCTGATCGATCCGCCTCATTGTAGCATTCATTCCTGTATCAGGAGGTAATCAAAACTCAAAATGTTTTTTTACAGAATATTTGTGTGTGCATGGTAGTTGTAGGCTTATTAGAACATTGCACTGTTAGCTTAGCAGCATGCTAGCATCAAACTCTGCTGAAATCAATTGAGTTTTTTTGTGCACCATGTGGAATTGCTACCTATGTAGAGAAGATACAGTCCATGTTTATTTGCAAGTAAATGCAGTATCTAATGCATTTGATTGGTAAATTTTAAAACACCTATGATTTCCAATTCACAGATTAGCATTATGCTAACAGAAGTAAAGACCATACCTGCGAGGTGACCACGGTTGTAGCCTGTGATCACCACTATCCAATCTCTCTGGATGGCAATGGTGAGAGCTGTGCTGGCGAGGTTCGCCACATCTGCCAGGACGATCACCACCGTATAACAAACCACCTTGTGTGAGTTGTGTGATGCAATAAGTTACTATGCTATGTCATAACAGCAGGAATGCTTATGTTCAGCAATGACTAGCCAGAGACAGTAGGCACACAGTGCTACTCTGAACACATAATTGCATTCTGAATGGGTATAATAATGACACATTTTTAGGGTACAAACAGTGTAAGAAGGACTTACGGTTAGCCACCCGTCCCAGATTTCCTCAATCCACTTTTTGTACGAGAACACCAACATGAGCACAATGCTGCAGATGGTCACTGAGATATTCTGAATAAATAGGGATGCGTGGGCCACTGTTGAGATGGATAGAGGAATTATGATACTTAAAATAAAAAATAAAAAAGACTGAGAAAAATGTTTTCTGTCATATTTATTATTATTATATATATATTCTCAAAATAAAATAAGAAAATATATATATTTTTTATAGCCTGTTTAAGGACCTTTGTTGTTGTTATTATTATTTATATTTTTTATAATTTATATTTTATATTATAATAATTTAGTTAGTTCATTAGTTGTTTTTTCTTCTATTTTTTCATGACAATTCTCATACATTTTTGACAATTTAAATAATAATTAAAATGGTGAAATATTTAATCTTGAGAATATGGAAGGTACTTAATTGTCATGTAAATTTATGATATATTAATGCAAATAATAATAATAGTGCAAAATAAATAAATAAACCAGACATGACATCTCTCTCTCTCTTTTTTCTTTTACCCTAAATGCACTACATAATGCATTTTCACCTTTGTTTCTCGGGTTGCGGTCAACCCAGTCTCCAATCAAAGCCCCTAATAAGAGCACCGATCCGGCCACCACCAGTCCAAAGATGCCAGTTAACAGCAGGTTATGCCCATACAGCTCAATCAGGAAGACAGAGATGGCGAAGTGCCACATGCGATCACCCTGGCATGCGAAAAGACATGATCAGCTCAAGATATCATACCTGAGATATCATAATTCACATCTTTTGTGTGGTCCTCAAAGTATCATGATAAAACCTGTAATAGTGTGCCAGAGCTCATGCCCTGTTTACTGAGTGCCAGCATTGCAGATATGAAAACAGCTCCTTACCCACATAGATAACGCTCCGCTCACATAGATGAGGAACTTGGGGCCCTTGAGGTAGATGAGGGCTGATCCTATGAGATAAAGAGTTTTTAAAGATTTATTACTTGTATGCGCATTTGGTTGTAGAATAATACACTGTTTAAAGCCAGACAGCAAGAACAAGTAGGTTCTGCAGATTTTAAGCATCTTCTAATATAAAATAGCAGAATGTTTCCCTATTTTAATCACTCTTTAATAAGCCTTACCTTCAATTTTAAAAGGATTGTTTACTTTCTAAACTCATTTGGGGTTGTTTTGGTTTTGTTTTGCTTACTTCCATGGAGCACAAATGTAAAAATGATGAGATTTATGTTGGTCGCTCCATACAACTATGATAAATGGGGTCTTATGATTTTAGATTAGTCTCATAAACCATAAACTCAAGTACCGGATCACTCTGATTCATGAAAACCATCACTGTATTTTGTGAACAAGTTAAAGTTGATCAGACATTCGCATACTTTCCTCACAAACTGTCAAAAACATGAAAAGCTTGGCTGGATTTACAGTAATTAAATTTGAATCGGTTTGTAGTCCAAAACAATAAACGTGTATATACAGTATAACTGTAATATCACACTTGACTTGAATAGATCAAGCTTTTTGTACCTTCTTTTTGGTGTTATGGAAAAGCATGACCTTCTCTGAATGTTCACTAAATTTGTGTGAACTGTTCCTTGCATATTCTGTCAAGCAAACTGAGTGTGTAGTTATATGGAAATATCACAGGTA